AAAAAAAAAACAACAACAAAAAACCCTTATCAGGTCAAGTGCTGTTTAGCAAGGAAAAGCAAGTAATTGTTCCCATTATGGCATAAGTCATTCAATGTCAGAGTGAGGGAGATTTCTTCAGCAGATCCAACCCAGAGCTCATGAACGCTTTTTGAGTTCCTGCCTGGGTGGAGCGTGCCTCGTATCCCAGCACTGGAGCGCCTGAGGCAGGAGGATCAACAAGAGTCAGAGGCCAGCCTCTGCTCCATCCTGAGACCTGTTTGAAAAAGAAAAAGGTTTTGAAGCATCCAAGCCTTCCTTCCCTCTCAGCTGCTGCTCCAGGTAAGTCACTTCTATTTTCATTCATTTCACAACCACACAAAATATAAAATTTGACTTGCACTTGCCAGGGTCCACACAAGATAACTGAATACCTTCTCAATGGCACAGGCTGAGGATCCCCTAGGCGGGAGTAAAGTGTGCAGCGCTGGGGCTTCTGTGCATCCCCCACCCCTTGAGGATAATTCCCTTCCTTCCCAGAAACTCACTGCACATGATGTGGGGAGAGCACCTCAGTCTATGCACCGAGGCTGAAAGAGCTACCACAGGACACTGGACACTTCCGATCTGCCCTCAGGTGTGGACTCTCTCTGGTTTCTGTGTGAGGTCAAACTCTCTGGTGAAAGCCACTGTGAAGCTGAGGCTCAGGGCATCAGTTAGATCACCAACTTCCGCCTGGCCCCTGCTCCCACCTGCACAGTCAGAAGCACCCAGCCCGCAGCCTCACTTAGCTTCCTTCCCACTCAGGGACTCACAGTGCCTTGGACCCCATGCTCCCTTTACCAGACAGTTTACACCGGATACCTCTCAGGTCAAACCAGCTTCTCCTTCTTGTCTCTCCCTTCCATTCATCCTTTCAGTCTCACCTTGTGTACCACAGTTTCTCTTACGACCCGTGCTTCCGCACTGCAAATGTACAGTCAGTCACCACAACTCTATTGTTTATTTCTATCCAGATAGCATGGAACCTACTAAGAGCAGATGTTCCACTGATGCTGAGGGAATACATTGGTGAGTACAGGCATCTAATTTCTGACAATTAAGTCCTCATTTTTCAATAAGCCGGGCATATATACAAACAGTTATTCATTTTCATTTGTATGAAATTCAGAAAAAATAGAATACAAAACGCAAATATTAACCATCTAAAACATTTCCTCGTTATTAATTCGCTATTCAATGTACTTTTCTGCTTTTTTTTAACATTCTAAAAGAAATGCTTACTCCAATTCATGTGATTTTTGTACATATAAATAATAAGGATGAACGTTTTCACCAGTTTTTACAAAACAAGAAAGCATTTAAACTGAAGAACAAATGGGACCAAAACCTGTCATAGCCTTAAATTATGTTAATGATAGAAACACTTCATATAAATTGTTATATATATCTATATTGAATAATAAATACAGATAAATCTCCAAACTGCCCATGTGAAATAGAAACACAAAGCAATGTTACACTGTGTTCCCTCCAGACACTGCCACTCTCCGCTGCTAGGAACACTGTCTGCTCTCTTCAACTGAGAAGTGAAGAATCTTCTTCGTCAACTTCAATAATTGTGGGAAGAAATTCTACCCCTGAAATAGAATATTTTCTCTTTGGGGCATTAGTGCTCTCACTGGGTGTAACTATGGGGTCAGCTCTCTCTTCTTCATCTCTCAAAGCCTCTTCATACCTGGCCTGGAAGGCACTAGGTATCGTTTCATTGATCTTGGCCCAAAACTCCAGGACTTTCATCTTGCTGGTCTCAGCATAGGCTCTTGGGCCCCACAGGAATTCATACTGGGGAGGATCACTGTAGGGTACCTGGCGGTATTCCAGGTATTTCAGCTTCACTAGATCACATGTGATGAGCTTCCTGGGCTCCCCGAAAAGGAAGTGTTTCTTTCCAGCATATATTCTCATCCTATTCAGAAATTCCCAGATCTCCTCCTCAGAGGCAGAGTTGCCCTTCATGAAGATCACTCCCAGAAGGTTCATCAGGAGACCGGTCTTGGGAAATCCTCTTCCACGCTTCAGCATCCCATTGTAGGGGAGATTCATTTTGTCGACAAGGGTATAAGAATGTTTGGCGGCATCGACTTCCTTTAATTCCATGCCAAATACCACCTCTATGTTGAAAGAAGCTCTTTCTAGGAGCTTTGGGAAGTGTTTCTCATACTTTTTATTGATGATCTTCAACATATCTTTTTTCCTAATAGGGTTTTCCATCTGGTGCATTTCAATGATGTAGTTCACCAACCTGCTGGCCATTTTGGTTAGAGCATCTCTGGGAGACTGTATGGTGGGGAGTGGAGCCTGAGAAGAAAGATGCTTTTTCTTACATTTGCATTTGGTTCCTTCATTTGATCTTGGGTTTGAGTTATCTGTAGCTGT